TGTGTTTGTTATGCTTGTGTGTGTGCGTGTGTGTGTGTGTGTGTGTGTATTATGTGTTTGTTATGTGTGTGTTATATGGTTCTTATGTATGTGTGTGTTATTTGCTTGTTGTGCATGTATGTGTGTCTATGTGTTATATGTTTGTTTGTATGTGTGTGTTATGTGTTTGTTATGCGTGTGTGAGTCATATGTGTTTGTGTTGTGTGTTATATGTTTGTTATGTGTGTATGTGTGTTATGTTTTTGTTATGCTTGTGTGTGTGTGTGTATGTGTGTTATATGTGCGGTGTTTTTTGGGTTTGTTATGTGTGTTATATGTTTGTGGGTGTGTGTATGTGTGGGTTATATGTTTGTGTGTGTGTGTGTTATAAGACCTATAGGCATTATAATGTTGAGATAGTTTAATGAGGACATGTTTGATGTCCTTGTAATTCAAAAAGCATACTTAATGGGTCTTTTGACATTTAGACTTTGCCACTGGTGTCCTGTGAGGGTGAGGTTAGGACTAGGGGTAGGGTAAGGCCATAAAATAAGTCATTTTTACTACATAAAAGACATAACACCTATGAAGAGTCCTCATAAACCACCAAACCCAACATGTGTGTTTGCATCTCTTTGTATGCGTCTGTGTATCTTTGTGTGTATGTATAAGTGTGCATCTCTGTGTGCGTGTCTGGCTTTGTGTGTGCGTATGTATATGCATGAGTGTGTATCTGTATGTGTGTGTGGGATGGAGCAGGTTTCAATAGGAGGGGGCAGGAGAAGCTTCTAGTTAAATGTCAGAGTCTAAGAGTGTGTGTTTGACAGCAGCTCATCCGGGCTAAGAGCGTTTGACCTTTCCCATGGTCATTTAGCCAGGTGGCAGTGGGGATCTCTGCCCGAACACATAAATGACCCTCCAACACATCAACTAATGCTTCCCATTGATAGATCACACACACACACACACACACACTTACATATGCATATACATATACACATACATACACACAAACACACACCCTCCCCGTCTTACAAATTCAATGACACTGCAAAGTCAGCAGAAGACAGCAGAACGGCAGCTGCGGCGTTCATTAGCATTATTATTATAATGATTATGTCTGAGGTGAATAATGAGCAGTGTGACAGTGAAGTTGGAGACACAATGAGGAAAAACATGAGGAGAAGATTCAAGAAGAACGGGCTTTACACATCATCTGCCGTTTTCACTAGAGCTATACAAGCAACCAGCAACAGAACTCCAGTTGTTGCTAGAAAAGATACAGCTCCGGCCGGATGTACTAGAATTATTTATTAAACTTCTCCAACCCATATCTACCCCTCACAGTAATGTAAAACTACTGATAGGCGCAAGCTTGGGGTGTCTGCAGCACTATCCCTTCTAGACTTTACTGAGAACACCTTTTAAGCGTTCTAGCAACCAACCAGAATACCATAGCAAAGCCCTGGCAACCAGTAAATGTCCAAACTATCAAAACTTCCTAATAGGCAGCAAAACTATTAATGCGAAACAACCCAGAGGGCAACCTTTTCTAAATACCCTAACAACCAGATCCTAGCAACCAGATAACTAATACCCTAAAAATCACCTTAAACACGATAGTAACCATTTAGAACACCCACATGTTAAAGCAACTATTAAATATATCACGATGGTTTGCACTTTTGTAAACTGGTAATGATTAAATAAATAGGGCAAAAATCTGCCTAATCAGAATAAAGCATAACCTTTTGGAAACAGCATTCGCAACAAGAAGAAATTATTAAGGACGAAGTGTTAAAATAAAATAAAAATAAATGATATGGAAAACACTATTAAAAGTAAAAAAAAAAAAAAAACACTTCACGATGCTAATAGGAAGAGTTAAACAAATAAAGTATAAATAATAATAAATGAATTAATTCATTAAAACAATAAATGCACTAATTAAAATGTAAAATAAAATAATAACTGAAGATAAAATATCATAAAAATAAATAAATACTAAATAAATTAAAACAAACAATTAATTTAAATAAAAAATAAGTTAGTTAATTAAAAAAATTAATGAAATTAAATATATTTAAAAAATTTAAAGCGAATGAAATAAAAAATTAATTAATTAAAATTTAATTGAAAAATATTAAATAATAAAATAAAATATCATAATAAAACATTACTTGGCTAATAATATAAAAATAATACAAATAAATATATAAATATATATATATAAATATATAAATATATATATATATATATATATATATATATATATATATATATATATATATATATATATATATATATATATATATATATATATATATATATATATA